GAAGGCTCTGACTCTGAGCTCAAGTCGAACATGCATTAGAACAGGATTTTGGGGTATATTATCGTATGATCATAATAATCAGAATGGGTTTTGGTGTATATTATAGTATAGTTATAAGAAGGAACCCCCCAAAAAAACTATAGGTAATTATTTAGGATAATGAGAATAGGGTTTTGGTGTATATTAAAGTATAATTATAATAAGGAACACAAAAAAAACTATAGGTAATTATTTTAGGCTCCTACAGTAGGTGCCCTAAACCCTAAACCCTAAACCCTAAACCGTGGGGGTTTAGGGCGCTGACGGCCTTCCTGCTCAGGCGGACGATGGGGAGGAAAGTTGCGGGTTGTTTCGGGTTTTGTAACATCTCTATTAGGGGAAACAGGGTTTAGGGTTTAAGGGTTTAGGGTTTAGGGTTAGGGTTTAGGCTGTAGGGGATAGGGTTTAGGGTTTAGGGTTATTAGGGGAAACTACAGGTGGGGCGTTTCGGGTATATAGGGCTTCTATAAGGCTTCCATAAGGTATATAGACCTTCTATAAGGCTCCTATAACGGTAACTACCCACCTGGAAATGTCCTGGACTCCACGTAAAGCCTGAAGCCTGCAGCAAGTGTTTCAACTTTTCAACCGCATCATCTCACTGACGGTTTAGGGTTTAGGCTTTAGGGTTTACCCATAGGCCCCATAGTAGTTCCTTTTTGGGGTTCATATTTAGAATCCTATCAGGAAATCCCAAAAAGGAACTACTATGGGGCCTATGGGTAGGCTTTTTAGGTACCCAAAAAGGAACTACTATAGGGCCTATGGGTAGGCTTTAGGGTTTAGGTACTGACGGGATTTCGCAAGAAGAGCTCAACAACGCGGCCGCCTCTACAAACCTCAACACACCTCACATTGGAGGCCCGAGAAGTAAGGGAACTCAAACCCTAATATCGGGGCCTTCGAAATTAGAACAGGGTTTTGGGGCCCCTTATAGTGTGTGTATATACGTATAATAAGGAACCCTAGCAGTAACATTGGTAACTATTTAGGCTTCCATACTACCCCCAAAATACTCACGGATGCAGCGGTTTCTGCGACTCCGCCCATCGCGAGAGTACCCAGTCCTTCCAAGATCCCCTAGTTAAGGAAGACCCTAAGTTATAGCAGGATCCCTAAAGTATGATTTCAGGTATAACCCTTAACTATAAGGGGTATACCTTAAATCATGTTGGGATCCTACTATGACTTATAAGGTAGTACTTAACTAAAGGAATATTGGAACTCCCGAAAGTGCTTGGACACAGCCTTTGGTTTCATTTTTCATTCCCAAGAGCCGCCTTGCTGGAAGGCTCTATTCTAAGGGCTTTAGGAGGGACCCTTAATAGGGACCCTTGTAGGTTATTGGGGTTAATATGGAGACTACCTGGCTATATAAGGGGTATATAAGGACTGTACAATGGTTATTTAAGGTAATGGGATTGAGGGTTCCTGTTAGGGGTCCCTCCTAAAGTCCTCAGACTATTAGCAAACCAGGCACTACCCATAGGCCCCAAAGTAGCTCCTTTTTGGGGGTTCATATTTCGAATCGTATAAGGTAATCCAAAAAAAAGGAACTACTATGGGGCGTATGGGTAGACTCTCAACACCAAGCCATGCTCAATCCGACACCCAACCCTAAACCCTAAACCCTAAGCCCTAAGCCCTAAATCCGACATCCTGTAGCAAACCATGGAAAAAAAACTAAATCCGACGCCCTAAAACCCTAAACTCTAAGCCCCTAAACCCTCAACCCTAAACCCCTAAACCCTAAAACCCAGATCCAGGTAGGGCCGGCTTGGTCCCGGACTCTTTCTTTTGCTCGCGCTTGCTCGTCTTCTCCTCACCCGAAGAGCCGAATCCCCTCAAATAAGCGATGCCTGTTAACCTGTAGGGGGGGTTTAGGGTTTAGGGTTTAGGGCTTCGGTTTTAGGGTTTAGGGTTTACGGTTTTAGGGTTTAGGGGGTCTGTACTTAAAATGATGGGTAAATGAGTGGCTCTTTCTTCAAACTCACGTCAGTTAACGGACCCCCGCTCCTCTCGAGCCCGACACCCTAAACCCTAAACCCTGAACCCTAAACCCTGAACCCTAAACCCCCTAAATCCTAAACCAAAACCCTGAACCCTAAACCCTGAACCCTAAACCCTAACCCCTAAACCCTAAACCAAAACCCTGAACCCTAAACCCTAAACCAACGGATGGACCAGCTCCTCGCATTTCTCTTGTTGGCGCTCTCGCTTCAGCTCCATTCGTGCGCGTTTGGCAGCCTCCTGTCAGAGGAGATGGTTTTGCAGAGGCTTCATGTGCCCATATAATATAGGATATATTTGGGCCTATTAAGGGGGCTCCTATATGGGTACTTTAACTCTCTTCGTCAATATCCGAGTCCAAAAAAGTTTGAACTTTCCAAAAAAAACTACCCATAGGCCCCATAGTAGTTCCTTCTTGAGGTTCATATTTAGAATCCTATAAGGTAATCCCAAAAGGGAACTACTATGGGGCCTGTGGGTAGGTATATAAGGCCAATAAGTTGAAAGTGCTCCCATCGGCTAAGTAAGTTGACGCCTAAGTATATACTACGTGGGTACATGGAACCTCGGGGGTTTAGGACTTTCAGGCATAGGACGTGGGACGTGCAGCATCAGACGCAGGAAAGACTTGTACAGGTGTTTAGGGTTTAGGGTTTAGGGTTTAGGGCTCAGGTGTTCTTCCACGGTTCTGGTGCAAAAAGGATCAGCAGACAAAAGCTGCAAATGAGCATGGTGGATTTTGAGAGTCCTGAAACCCTAAACTCTAGAGCCCCAGACTAAACACCAGAAACTACGGAAGGAATGTTCAAAAGTCTTCTTGTAATGTCCGACGCGGGTTTCCATCAACAGGTCATACTAAAGATGCAAAATATACGTAGTGCCACCACCTAAAAATCATAAACCTCCTGAGCCACCAAACCTTGCAACTATATCACTATATCAACGCACAATACCAACGCTAGAAAATTGAATCCTATGCCCTTACCCTCAAGAGTGCCTGTGAACAATCAGAGCTCTAAAACAGAAGCCCTAAACCCTAAACCCTAGACCCTAAACCCTAAACCCTAAACCCTAAACCCTAAACCTAGATTCTTCGAGGCATCGAGTCCTTCTCCTGTTTCTTGGAGAGAACACCACCTGTGCACGTGGAGGAGATCGGTCTCGGCTGTAAGGTTAATACAGGAGGGGGTTTAGGGTTTAGGGTTTAGGGTACAGGGGGGGAACCACCCAAAATGGTACGGGTGATTATTGGGCCCCTATATAAAGCCCATAAACCCTAAACCCTGAACTGAACCCAAGAAATCCCACAAGCATTTTGTGAGCAGAAACAGACGACAGTATCTTGACCCTTGACTTGGCAACTTTTAACCGGCTTAATATAATTTGTATAGAAACCCAACAAATTAAAGTCCTAAGAGCCAACCAGAAGAGCGCCAAGTTAATGAACCGTCCGCTTCTTGGATATCATTTCGAATCTATGTGATGAGACACCCTAAACCCTAAACCGTCAACCCCTAGAGCAAGGAACTGCATGTTCTGATAAAGGACAGTGTAGGTAAGGCCTGCCCACAATCGCCACGCCTCCGCCATTCACCGCCATGAGTGCGGTGCCTCCACCACGCGCACCACCTTCGACTGAGGCTGGCTGTGAGGACTTCGGGTTTACAGCTCGAGGTTTCATGCGTTGGTTGTCGAGTCCGGCAAGGCTCCACCACAAGGCCTGTGCGTTTGCTTCAGCTGCTCCGGCGTTCAACACGGATTCGGATTTAGGGTGTAAGGCTGTCACATAGCTGACATAGCGCATATGTATGTGTGTACATATGCACGTATATAAGTGTGTTCATGTAATGTAGGAGCCCCTTTAAGGCCGAAGGATATACTGCATATATATATATATATATGTACTTGAGACCCCAAGGTGTAATGGCATCCGGCACAAACTGTGCCACGGTTCAGCCCTAAACCCTAAGCCCTTTCTGCGCCTGCTGCTGCTGGTGGCTCCTCCTGCAGCAGCTGCGTGACCGCAGAAGCTCGCGGCGCCCAAGACCCCGTGAAGTAACCCTAAGGCTCCATGCACCCATATAGTATATACTTAGGCTTTAAAGGGGTTCCTATATCGGTACTTTAAAACCTAAGTATATACTATATGTGGGCACGTGGAGCCTTAGGGTAAGAGGAGTCTGTTCAGCCTACCCTAAACCCCACGGCCGAGACCCGAAAGAAATCACATGGCATTTTAGAGCCCCTGTTCCCGCACAAGGGATGCCCGGAAAGTTGTCTCGGCAGGATTTTTGGACTTGCGTCCTACTTGCAGATGATGTTTTTGCCGCAAGACTCCGACAAAGCCTGCTGCCATTCTGGCCTCGCTTCTGGCCCCTCTTCACTTATCCAACCACTCCAGCACCTCTCCGGCTTGCCAAAACTGCTAAAATCTCAATTTCATGGCCGCACTCCCGAATCCAAAATCTTGATCATTCCCAGGCAAGGTCTTAAGCTTTGCTCATCTCAATCGAGTCCCCAATTTGTGCGGCATAAAACAGCCTCTTGCTTCAGGCCAGCACCTTTCCGGCTTGCCGAAATTGGCTACCCACAATATCTGCCAGACAAGCTGTAACCAAAACTTTGGATAACACCGAGCGCTGTCCAAGAACAAAAAATACCCTCGTCTAAATCCGATGAGGTCGAGGCGATTGAGGAGCACTGGCGGGTGGGTCGTCTCTGTCAGCAGGGTGAGCGCATGGGTGCTTCTAGCACCAGCGCAACCCCCTTCGTCAAAACCCCAAGCCCTAAAAGCCTGCAAGACCCTTAACCCTGTAGTCTTGTAAACCCAAACCCCTTAAAACCCTAACCTTTGAAACTCTATAAATAAATTAGATATATATATATATATATGTATTTATTTTTTATAAAGATCAAAAGCCCTTGAACCCTTCATGCTACAACTTGGACGCCTAGTCGGAGCTCCTCTTCGTCGCTGTCAGAGTCGGAGTCATCGAACCAAACGGTCGCGCGGTCGCTGAGGCCGAGGATGCACCTAGGTCTCATATAGGATCTTTATTCTAAAGACGACATGAACCCCCGAAAGTTGCTTAAGCTTCATATACTATAGGGATTCATCGTATTTGGGTATAGGGCCCCTACTTTGTTAAGGATCACTTGGTCCTAAAACTACTAGGCATGAAGGGTTCTGTAGGGTTCCCTTAAGGTTGGACTGGTGAGGGTCGCACTCACTTGCGTTCTGCGAAGCTCACAAAAACTGCTCCAAAGTCAGATTCCTTTCAGCTGGCATTCCACCTGTTACACTACCTGATGCGAAAACATCCTCCTGTGCGCGTTTTCAACATGGGGGGAACTCGATTCAGCGAGTTTGCGTTTAAGTTGCTTCACAATAAAGGCAAAACAGAAACCCCACTAAGATTTCAATCTACCGAGTTGTGTAGAATTCGACTCAACGACGTTGCATTTAAGTTGCTCAACAATAGACGCAAAACAGAACCCCTCTCAACATTAGAAGAAAAAGGGCTCAGGGCTTTAAAGTTAGGTTTTAGGATTTAGGCTTCTCCCATAGGCCCCCATAGTAGTTCCTTTTGGGGGATGACCTAATCGGATTCTAAATATGAACCTCAAACAGGAACTACTAAGGGGCCCATGGGCTTGAGGTGAGGGTTGAAGGGGGTTTAGGGTTTAGGGTTTAGGGTTTAGGGTTTAGGGTTTAGGGTTTAGGGTTTAGGGACTTAGGATGTAGGGCTCTAGGGCTTTAGGCTTTGAAGCTCAAGGCTTCAAGATTTACGATTTAGGGCTCAGGGTTTAGGATTGAGGTTTTTTTTTGTTGAACCCCCTTTTTCCGCCTGCAGAGTTTAGGGTTCTATGGCTCAGGGCTTTAGGATTTAGGATGTACGATTGAGGGTTTAGGGTTCCATGGCTCAGGGATTTAGGATTCAGGATTTAGGGTTTAGGGCTCTGGAGCTCAGGGCTTTAGGATTTAGGGTTTAGGGTTTAGGGTTTAGGGTTTAGGGTTTACGGCTCTAGATCTCAGGGCTTTAGGATTTGGGATTTAGGATTCGGGCCGCCGCTGTAATTTTGGACGTTAAGGTTTCAATATACATGGGTAGAGGGGGTTTAGGGTTTATAAGGGGTTTAGGGGTTTAGGATTTCGGGTTTCGGGGTTTCGGGTTTAGGGCTTGGGGGTTTAGGGGTTCGGGGTTCGGGGTTTAAGGCTTCAGGGTTTAGGAGTTTAGGGTTTAGGGTTGAAGGGTTTAGGGGTTCAGGGGTTTAGGGTTTAGGGGTTTAGGGTTGAAAAGGGTTTAGGGATTCCACGACTATGCACAGCCCGCAGAATGGACAAGTTGCCAGTATAGAGCTTACTGTGCTGCTGGTGCGCAGCCACAGCCACGCCTCCCACTACCTTCAAGTACCAAACCCTGCTTTTTTAATAGGGTCCCTAGAAATTCTGTATTCGAGTTTATGTTAGGAACCTAGAGACAAGTAAGCTAAACAAAAAAAGTACCTGTATCTCCCAAACTCACGAAGCCCCCGCCCCGTATGGAAGCTTCTGTGGCTGCCATCATCCAGGAGTCCGCCCTAAACCCTAAACCCTAAACCCTAAACCCTAAACCCGAAGCTCTGAATCGTTTTGGGGTTCAGGGTTTACGTAGGGTGAAGGGCTTCAAGGCTTACAGTTGAGGATTTAGGGTATTAGGGCTTACTTGGGGATCCAAAAACGCTACTGTTTTAGGGGGTTATACCTTCAAATTCAGGGGTCATACCTCACGATATTGCAGGATTTGGGGATACAGGTAGGGACCCAAACCCCAAACCTTCCCCCAGAAAGCCCAGCCCATAACAGCAATAAGAGCCTTAGGGTAGGGTGTAGGGACGATTAGGGTCGAGAGCTCAGGGTCGACCAGAACACAAAATCCGCCGCGTCGCTCCCAGCGCTCCGCGCAGGAGATCTGGAGCTCATCGCCCTGCTGGAAGCAGAGGTAAAATGCTAAGGGTTTAGGGTTTAGGGTTTAGGGTTTAGGGTTTAGGGTTGAAACTACGGGTTCGTATCTTCTGTGTTTTGTAAGAAACCCTGAACCCTAAAAACCCTCAAAACCCTAAATCCTAGAAACCCTAAACCCTAAAAACTCTGAGCCCTAAGAGTAGGGTTCCTATCTGCTGTGGCTTGCACGAGCTCCAGAACTGTTTGGGTGTGGGCTTAGGGCCTTCAAGGATTCCAAGATATACCAGGTTTCGACAAGGCAACTTTCATAGGGGCTGTCAAGTCCTCAATAATGAGCATTTAAGGCTTTAGATGCGGTACTTGTGGAAGTCTAGGAAAGGTGTGAGGTTTAAAGTTTGGGGTTATAAGGTCTAACGCAACGGCTTGGGATCAAGGGGCATGCTGCTGACGAGGGGTAGGGCTCCAAACTGCCGGTCAGAATCCTAAACCCTAAACCCTGAACCCTGAACCCTAAACCCTAAACCCTGAACCCTAAACCCTGAACCCTAAACCCTAAACCCTGAACCCTAAACCCGTTTGTGAAGATCCGGCCTGCTTCTCCATCTGAACCTCCAGCCGCCACATATCGTCCAGGGTGACCTGTGCAAAAGGGTTTGATGGCTACATTGGAAACCAAATTCGACTAATAATGATGCCTGCTTCTCTCTGCAGAGGGTGTTTTCGACGAGTTACAAAGTACCACGCGTGGGTGCCTCGATTTATAAAGCCTGTACAAGCCCAGGCTCAAAGCCAATCGAGGTACATAGGCCATGCGCACCCACACCCCTGACAGGATCCAAATGATGGATGCCTTGCCTGTGAACTCATCCAAAAGGGGAGATACCGCTATATTACATGTAGCCTAAACAAGCCCCTCATAACCAAGACTAGGCTTGATCAACAACATATAACAACCAAGCTTCGTTCATCTATGCCCAGAGCCATAACACACACACACACACACACAACATGGGAGCAAAATGCAAGCCTAAACCCTCAAAGTCACGAAGGCCTCCAGAAACTGATGACACTCCCAAGCAGTACAGACTGCGACTAAACAAACCACACACAACGGCCTAAGCCGTGACGGTAAGCTGTAAGTCAAACTCCAGACATCGAATCAGATTGGTTATCGTTGTCAAAGTTAAGTTCATAACATTGACAACAACACTAACACAGATATTGAAAACACCAAGGAAAACAACAACAGCAGTACTGTAGGGGCCTAAATAATTACCTATACTACTTTGGGGGTTCCTGATTATACTTATAGTATAATTTTCCCCAAAACCCTATCCTAATTATTAAGGCCCCTGTATTCAACCCTTGCCGAACCTCCTGCTTCGGTCCGGATTCGCAGGCGCCGCCAAAGATCCATAGGGCACCTCTTTGAGAGTAGAGAGAAAAGCCTCAAGAAGGCTCACCTTAACACCCCCCCCCCCTCCCCTTAAAAAAAAAAATGGTGATCTTTAAAAAGGAAGCTAACCCCTAAACCTAAACCCAAAACCATCAAGAGGAACCCTGAACAAGGAGGCTCTGGTGGTTATGGTGGGGTTTCGGCTTCTTTGGGGTTCCGGCTGGGGTGTTCGGGCCTGGGGAAAAGGGTTGAGGATGTGTAAGGGGCTCGGGTTTAGGTTGGTTGGTTGGTTGGTTGGTTGGTTGGTTGGTTGGTTGGTTGGTTGGTTTAGGGTTTAGGGCTTAGGGTTTAGGGTTTATGGTTTAGGACTACACCTCTAGTCTCCAATGCAGCGCGTTTGTGGAGCTTAACCAATTTGACACTTGCAAGTCGTAGGAACCAATAGGTATAGGCGGCATAGATGTCAGAGATTCGGATTTGGGGTTGGGTTTTGGGAGGAGAAGTCTGAGGCATAAAAGCTGCGAACCGGGCATTACACGGTTGATGTCGTTCTGGCATGTTGCAGTTGAAACGTTTGGTCGGAAGCGCATGGTGGCACACTTGGAAGATTTGCTTTATGCACATGCAGGCAGCCCAGGCTTGCTGAGTTTACACCGCCAAGTCGTGATGACGAAAGTGGAGCCGACCCTCACCCCCTCGGTACCTACTATATAGGGTACTAGGGCGAAAGAGTATCTCAAAACTGTAACAACCAGCGTAACATAAGTAAATCGTCACAGTATACCCCTAGGCCCCATAGTGGTTCCTTTTTGGGGTTCATATTTAGAATCCTACAAGGTAATCCAGAAAAGCAACTACTATGGGGCCTATGGGTATAAGCACCCTAAAAAGCCTAAACTGAAGGGCTCGCGGGATTTCAAAGCAGTAAGTTTGAGGGCTGTGGGCATGAGGAGGGTTTGGTTTAGGGTTTAGGGTCTAGGGTTCAGGGTTTAGGGTCTAGGGTTTAGGGTTTTTTTTGGTGGAGGTTGCCGTAGGTTGTAGCTTTCGGGGAGTGTTGAAGCTCTGGGAAAGGGCGGGGGCGCATAGATTTAGTTCAAGGTTCTGCTTATGATAATGTGTAGAGTGTGGGGCGTTAGTGGCTTGGGTCTCTAGCGAGCTGCTGCAAGCTTTAAACCTCGCCGCATCGCTAAACCCCCAACCCCTAAACCCCCCGAAACCCTAAACAATATATCCCCTAAATCATAAGACCCTGTAAACTCTAGACCCTAAACCCATAAACCCCTAAACCCTAAACCCAAACCCCTAAAACCTAAACCCTGCACCCTGAACCCCAAGACCCCTAAACCCTAGACCCGACAACCCTATACCCCGAACCCTAAACCCTTAAACCCTAAACCCTAGACCCTAAACCCTAAACCCGATTAACCCCTAACCCCTAAACCCTTAACCCTAAAACCCTAAAGCCCTACACCCCTAAAGCCCTAAACCCTAGACCTGGCTTCTCTGCCAGGACAGCGCCTCGCGACACCACGCAGCCAGCAGCCATCCGGCCTCTTGGCGCCTAGCCCGTGCAAGAGAGTTTAGGGCTTAGGGCCTTTGGGGTTCATCAGACCTCAGCCAGGTTTTGGGGTTTACGGATTTCGGGGTTTAGGGGTTTTGGGCTTAGGGGTTTTGGGTTTAGGGGTTTCGGGTTTAGGCGGTTTAGGGTATAGGGCTTAGGGAACCCTAGGCCCTATACTCTACTACCTAGACCCTGAACTGGAGTTCCGGGTAGCCTATGTGTGGCTAGGATGTGCAGGAAAGTAGTACATCCCAAAAAACCTAGTCTCTTACTTACCACAGCAATTAACGGTGTTGGTGGTCTGTGTTTTGTAGAACCTTCGGGGTAGAAGTTGAGGCCCAAGGGGTGTAGGGGGCAACCGCCAGAGCTCAACCGCAAGAGTGCATCTAGCACTCACTCACTGATATTAGATCTATGAATCGGGACGCGTCTGTAAGGGTGCAGGAATGCAGGCCATCCACTATGTGCATAGCCTCAGCCATAAACCCTAAACCCTGAACCCTAAGCCCTAAAGCCCTAAACCCTAACTCACAAACTCAAAGATCTTTAGATCCGTGCTATGAAACCAAGTTTTTTGTTTTTCAGTGTCCAAGGTTTAGGGCATATACCCCCACATAGTACATGCTCTGCCCTTAGGTACCTATATTATATGGACTACTTTAAGCGGTTTAGGGTTTGCCAGGACCCTCCAACAGGGGCATGTGGTCGAGCGTAGAAGGGGCGAATCAAAGTAAAGTGTCTATGATTTAGCGTTTATAAGGTTGCTTTCGAGATATGATATGACTTGCGAGAGAGATGGCATGAATTATTTTCTTCCAGTCGAGTCTGAACTCTAAGCCTAGCCCCTTAAAACCTAGAGCCTAAACCCTGGACCCTAAACACTGCACCGAGGACCCTCAACCCTAAACCCTGGACCCTAAACCCTAAACCCAAAACCCTGGACCCTAAACCCTAAATCCTAAAGCCCCTAACCTAACCAAAGCCCTTATCCGAAACCCTTCAAAGACGCACGAAAGCTGCGGTACAGAGCAGGAAGTCCTTCGGACAGAGTACGTTGAGCTATGCCCTGGCTTCCCTACTGTTGATGATATAATGCCTGCAATACCTTAAGGACCATAAACTATGGGAATTATGGTATATCCCTTATTGTGGGTAATGCAGGATTTAAATCATCAACCGTATTATACCCTAACCCAGAAGGGTCCATATACACTACCCTTATGAAACTAGGTCCCAAAAGGCCATCCTTACTATGGTTTTGCGGTCCTAATTCCATAGTAGTAGTAGAAAGGGACCCTCATGGTAAGGTTCCATATGCCCATATTGGGATCCTTTAAGGGTTTCCTTTTAAGGGTTCTGTAAGGGGTACTATAAGGGTGTAAGGTACTAAAGGGTCCATGTACCCAAATAGTACATACATCCTAAGTATACCCTAGTAAACCATAAACCCCTAAGTGTATACTATATGGACACATGGAGCCGTCCATGCTGTAGAAGCCTAAATAATTACCAATATTGATCCTCAGGGTTCCCTATTATAACCATACTATAACAAAGCCCAAAACCGTGTTCTAATTATTAAGGTCCCTCCATTACCCCCTTATAGCAGCTCTTATACTAACCCTTATAGAACCCTTTATAGACCCTTTAAAAGAGCCCTGTTCTAAGTGTTACTAGGGATAGCGGGGCCTCGCGCAGGTCCTCTGCACTCTTGGAGCATCCTGCCAGACCCAGAGGGTCCATATATACTACGATTATGGAATTAAGTCCCCAAAACCATATCAGGGATGGTCTTTTGGGACCTAATTCCTTAATGGTAGTGTATATGGACCCTCTGGGGAAGCCTAACAATTACCAATGCTATTCCTTAAGGTTCCTTATTATTACTATAGTATAAAGGAGCCCAAAACCCCATTCTAATTATCAAGGCTGTCAGACCGATGGATTTCGTATGCAGGCTCGGGGTTGCGGAGGGTCTCGAGTTTGGGGTTTGGGCTTTAGGGTTTAGGCTGTAGGGTTTAGGGCTTAGGGTTTAGGGTTTAGGGCTTAGGGTTTAGGGTGTAGGGCTCAGAGTTTGGGGTTTAGGGTTTAGGCTTTAGGGTTTAGGGTTTAGGGTGTAGGGCTCAGAGATTGGGGTTAGGGTTTAGGCTTTAGGGTTTAGGCTGTAGGGTTTAGGGCTTAGGGTTTAGGCTTTAGGGTGTAGGGCTCAGAGTTTGGGGGTTAGGGTTTAGGGGTCAGAGCTTTGGGTTTAGAGTTTAGGGTTTAGGGTTTAGGCTTTAGGGTTTAGGGCTTAGGGTGTAGGGCTCAGAGTTTGGGGTTTAGGGTTTAGGCTTTAGGGTTTAGGGCTTAGGGTGTAGGGCTCAGAGTTT